TAAGTGCATCAATTAAGTCTATTTGCAAACAGTGTATCGCTATGTCAATGTATTTCTTTAAATATGTGTTTTGTATTTTTTTTTAGTTATTCTGTCGAGTATCGCCGTAAAGGATACATCAAGAAATACGTCGAGAGGAGTTGGGCAATAGAGTATCGGCAGTAATTTGATCTCGAGTTACGAGGTCAAACGTTTCGAAGCGTGCTCGAAAATGGAGATAACGATGCGGGAGAAAAGTGTCATGCGAAAGATTATCTCTCTAAAATTCTCTTCCTCCTCAGAAACTCAATTTTCCTCTCTTAGCACCCTTCCGAGAATGATCTTTGTACGCGAATCGGAATGTTCCGTACCGGCTCTTCTCGTTCTAAAATATTTCATATCGTTCTTTGTCGCGATTGAGATGCTATAATTACATTTTCGCAAAGTTGTTTCCATGCGAATCCATACTACTCAAATCGTTAGAATAACTCAACGTTTGATCTCTCCATATTTCTTCAAATATCGCGGATTTATATATGTTGTTCATCTCGTGGATCGTTTTATTCGTAGTTGTCAAAAGCTATGTCTATCCTGATAGAACGAGGACGAAGATAAAGCTCTTACAACATATCGGTTGGAAGAAGGAAGATTTCACGTGAAAGGAGCATCGAAGTATCCGATGTTACGAAATAGGGAACTCTTTTAGGATTATTTCTAACTTTCATCTCCCTCCAATTTCGAGTTAGGCAAACGAAGACATCTAGTCCACGTGCGTTCATCAGAGATTTAGTGATTAGAGAACCATCTAGATTCCTCTAGATCCGATCAAAGTATTAAATTCTAACAGGAAATCGATTGTACGTCCATTCTATCCTCAGTCCCTATCTATCCTGTGAGCGACTTTTGTATTATATCCATAAATTAATTTTCTCCACATAAAAATCTTTTTACATGTACATAATATAGTATCTAGAGGGTGCAGCAATAAGGTAGATGACTCTGATCCGTTAATATAATGTTTGTCATTCAAAAAATGGAGAAGAAGGTGAAAGCTGAAATGAGCTGAAATAAGCCGCAAGTGCCGCAAGATGCCGTAAGACGTAAGAGATTGGCAAAAAAGGTCGCGTTTCTCACAAAGAGGAGGAACGGTCGTGCGAAAATCGCAAGGAGGTTCCCCCTTCTCTTGGATAGGAGGGGCGCCCTTATGGTGGCCTACCGCAACAATTCGGGCCGATCGTCATTACGCTGGAATCATCCCCCGTTAGTGCTCCCTCTCGTCGCCGCAAGGCCGGGCCGATCTCCACCTTACCGATCGAATGATGAAAGTTCACGCTCGTAGCTCAGCATCGCCTCCCACGCTACACTCATGACGATTACGTTGACGATGTAAAAGATGAAGACGAAGACGATGAGATGACGATGACGATGGAGATGACGATGACGATAGGGGGGCGATCGCGTCGAAAAAGGATGCGACGACGAAATTCGCGAATACCGGAGACGAGAAGAAACCCCGTAAACCGGGTCCGGATACGTGCCGCTGTAGAGCGAACGAACTCGCGAGATTCCTGACCATTGGACCGACCCTCGTGCATGCATACTTTAGCATAACGTTCTCTATACAATATCCAGAAAGAGGGAAAGAGATATAGGGGGACGGGGGTAGGAGGAGGAGGAGGAGGAGGAGTAGTACCGCCGAGGGGAGGACAGGACGGTTCCTCCTCGGTCACCCCACCTCCCTCCTGGCGGCTTCGCCCTTTCTCTCTTTCTCTCTCGCACGCGCGTGCCCTCTCCCTTGCATCGTGCCGGGGGCCTCAGCATTCGTCCTACCCCTCGCGCTGACCCCTTCCGCCCTCCTCCCCGTCCTCATCGTTGCCGCGAATCGATTTGTTATTGTTTTTGTGTCTGCGGTCGTCGCGGCGGATGGAGCGGGGTTATATCGAGGGGTGGATGGGCGAATGGTGAATGGGGGTGGGGTTGCCGGTGCCGGTGGTGCTGCTGGTGCTGCTGCTGCTTCTGCTGCTTCTGCTGGTACGGCTACGGCTGATGCTGATGGTGCTGCTGCCGTTGCTGTTGGTGGTGGTAGTAGTGATGGTGGTGGTAGTGGTGGTCGCGCTCGAGCTTCGAAGCCTCGGCTTCGGTTTTCGGGCCGGCAGAGAGGCGACCAGGGTGAATAAGCTGCTGCTGCTGCTGCTGGGAAGGGTGGAAAGGGGAGGCGGGAGAGAATCGCAAGGGAACTCGTGAAGGGAGAAAGAAAGAGAGAGAAAGAGAGAGAGAAAAGGGATAGATACGCGCGATTCCGATCAGTGGCGTAGCCAGCGTGGGACAGGAAAAATCGAAAAATCTCAACCACTGTACGTGCGGAATTGCGCTGGAAACTTTACCCCATCCCTTAATTGCTCCTGCTTAAAACTATCGCTCGGCTAAGCGACGAGAGATGGTACTCGTCGAGTGTGACGTGACTCCTGCATTGAAGAATCCGAGACCGACCGCGAAAAAAAGGGCTTGAGATCACGCCATTGGGATAGCCGCGGGAAAGAGATGAAACGAGAGAGGGTTGAGAGGATGGAAGCTGGTACAATGAGGAGGAGGAAACGAGCCGAGGGTGGGTGCGGAAGAAGGGAGAAAATCCCTGCGAGGGAAAGGGCGAGGAGGGAAGTTAGGAGAGGAGGAAGAGGAGGAGGAGGGGGGCGATCGCGTGGGTTAAATGGAGAGGGGACTCTACTCTGCGCGAGGATGGAAGCGGGAGGGAGAGGAACGGCGCGGATCGGATTGCATCCGCGGGTTGCATCGGGGGAGGGGAGGGGGGGTGGCGACAGAGATAGTTGGAGAAAGAGTAAGAGGGGGATAGGAGGATGAAGGAAGGGAGAGAAAAGGGAAGAGCGAGAGGGTAACGGAGGTAGCAGGGTGAGGGAGGAGGGACACGTCGGCATCGGCTTGACAGGTGACAACCGATCGGACCACTGACGTCACAGATCACTTGGCCGAGCGAGCGAGCGAGCGAGTGCGCGCGCGCGCGCGTCGCATCGCATGCACGCAACACGCACAGACACGACTATCCGCGAATCTCAGCGGCTACGCGACGTGGCGTAAGGTCGGGGAGCCGTGTCTCACACTCGCATACACCACTGTGCACCGTCGACAGTCGACACACGTCACGTTCGGCACGTCACGCCGCGTGAAAGAGAAAGAGAAAAAAGGGGGTAATTCTCTATGGGGGTGACGAAAGAGAGAAAGAGAGAGAGACGAAGCAAGACGAGAGATTGTGGAGACGGCAATAAGGATAGAAGGCGGGAACGTGAATATCTGTTAATGTGAAGACCAGGGAAAGGACTTTCGGATGCGGATGACCGCGTGTAATCGTCAGGATTTTTCGCGTGACGCGAATACTCCTCCCCCCCCCCCGTTTTCACGACGTACGACTTGAATTTTTGGTATTTACCGGGTGTTAACGCCGGCCGATGGTCCCCGCGCGCGGCGCCTTTCTATCTGGTTACCATTACACTCGGATGTATGAAATGCGCCACGGGCATACAACCATCCCCCCACAATAGCCCTATTTATGATTGGGCAAAATTGCTTTCCATGCGCAGAATAAAATCTCGCGCGCGGGTCCAGGAAAAATCCGCGGGGCGCCGCGACGGGAGGCCGCGCCGCCGCTCCTCGCGGTCGCGCGTCGCGCCGCGTCGCGTTTCTCCGAACGCGGAGAACGTTCGCTGGAGAAACGCGGGCGGAATTCGCCGTGCGCGGCCGACGCACCTGTCGCACGCGTCCCACCGTGCGACGCATCATCTTTTTCCCTCAATTTTTCTCCGCGGTTCCCACGCAGCCGATAAATACGTCAGAAATTAAACGCGATCCGCCGTGGTCGCGCGCATCCGCGGCGCTACGATGGCCGCCCGGCTCGGCCAATCACCGTTCAGCGTGCCGAGTAGTCCCAGAAAGCGCCGCGACTAGCCACGGCGCGACGTGACTGTCAGCGTGATGACCCAAATAAGGTTAAGTCGTGACATTTCTGTGTAGTTTTCACGTAATTTCGAGTAGTTTCGTAGTCTCGACTTCTTTATCTGGATTTTCCTTGTTTTTTTTAAATCTAAATTTTTGTCAAACTTGATCTTATTCCGTAAGATTACGTTATAATGTAATTTATTTAAGGATTTATTAAGGACGTGCTCCATCGATTGCAAACATCTAATTAATCACTGACCCATCGAACGAGTGTACTTAATTATTCTTACCTCAAATCAAAACAAAGAGGTGATGCCAATTTGATTTAATAGTTATGAATTATTTCTTACGTGGCGCATTATCGTCAGATTGATAGGTTAAGTTAGGTTAGATGACAAATTGGGTAGAAGGTATTTAACATAGAATTTTTAATGATACGCACGTTACATTACAATTAAGTCTGAATAATGATGTAACGAGAAATTTAATAATACAACATCGAAACTA